CTCGACACCATCGTCCCCGCCGCGCCGGGGGCAGCGTCCGGCTCCGCAGAGCCGACACGAGGACCAGAGGCCGGCCCGGCTCCCACCGCCGCGGCGACACGGGCTCCGCGCTGCCGCCCACAGCCGTGGTTTCCGGGTGAAGAAGAAAACACTAAAAAACAAAAACGCCACGGCCAACGTTACCGTGACCTCTGACACCTGGCGTCCGACGGTGGCGCGGCCAGGACAAGATTCCTCAGACGCGAGGGGCGGATACCCCGCCCCTTGGCTGGGCCACGTCAGGGTGTTTGTGTACGCAATCTGTGATGCACGCTTGCGGGATTGGGGGTGTAGAGTCCCGCTTTGTGCGGGTGCGTGCGTGTCTATATGTGTGCGCGATTGTGTGAGCGCGCATGTGTGCAAGACTACGCGTGGTGCGCTGTGTGTCTGCGTGTGTGGTATGTGATGGGCGTGCGAGTATAATGTGTGCCTGCGTATGTGTGTATGGGGTAGGCACATATGTATTTGTGAGTGCGGTGTGTGCTTGCTCGTGTTTCTGTGCTTGTATATTAATCACTAATTGTATAGTAATCATTAATTAATTATATAATAATTTGTTATTAATAAAAGTATGGACTTGCATGTACAATCGTATTGTGAAATAATTGGCATTATCCAGTAGACGTTAAAAAAGATAACTACTCAGGATCGCAAGTTTGAGGCAAACCTAGCCAATGTAGCAACTTGGAAAGATCCTGGCTCCAAAAATACTTAGTTGTTTATTTTTTGATTTTTCAATAATAGGGTCTTGCTATATAATTCAGGCTAGCCTTGAACTCACTATGGAGTCTAGGCTGACCTCAAACTCATGGTGATGTCCAGCCTCAGTCTCCCAAGTGCTAGAGATTACAGGTGTGCCCCACCACATCTAGCTCCAGAAAAACAAAAAAATTTTTAAAGGGTTAAAATTGTTGCCAGGTGTGGTGGCCATGCCTGTAATCCCAGCATTCCAGAGGGTGAGGCAGGAGGATCACCATGAATTTAAGGCCAGCTTGAGCTACATAAGTGAGTTCAAGGCCAGCATGCATTACATGGAGAGATGCTGTCTCATTAAAAAAAAAAAAAAAAAAAAAAAAGGAGGACGTCATTCAGTGTGAAGGCCCTGGTTCGTTCCCCAGTATCAGAATAAGAATATACTATCCTAGAAGCACTAATGGCGAAGCTTTTAGAGTTTTTTTTTTTTTTTTTTAGTTTTTTGTTTTTTTAATTTTAAAAATAAAAGGAGGAAAATATTAACAGACAGTCGACATTTTACAAAATAGCAAAGGAACAGTACAGACAGTACAGAGTTACAAACAGAGTGGTAGGGAATTAACAATGCTTGTTGTATTACATATTGATATCTTCAAAGTGGTTTCTCATGAAAACAGATATAGACATACAAAGCTGATCAACCAAGGACTCATTGACAGTTTCTTTCAGCAAAGAAATACAAGACAGTAGAACAGCCATGTTAACTATCCTGCATATACATACATACAAACTTTCTCTTTCTTTGCCTTCTCTTTTCCCGTATCCCAGTTATCCTTTACCTTTGAGTGCTTTCCTATCAATTTACAATGTCTATCATATCTCCTAGTTTAAATTAACTCTTTCAGGCTTTACACTATGCTTTTAGAGTTTTCAATGGTAAACAACCCACTGAAGCACAAGTACAATAGGTTCACCACCCCGGCTAGAGAAACAGTTGAAAATGTGCCCAGATAGACTTACTAATGTTTATATTAGCACCATTTAGGGACAAAAATAGATGTCCATACAGTTAAATGTAAGAAAAACAAAACAAAAACCCTTTCGTGTAATCACTTATAATCAAATACAGAAGAACAGTGAAAATTCTTGAACAAAGCCACCACAGTAATGGAGCCTGATCTCAGGCTATAACATCAAGGGAAAGCCAATCACAAAGGAATCCATTACAGCAGAGCATGGTAGTGCATGCCTGTAATCCCAGTTTGGGAGGCTGAGGCAGGAGGATCGCTGCCAGTTGGACGCCAATCTGGACTATATAGCAAGACCCTGTCTCAAAAAAAAAAAAAAAAAAATCCGTTGGGTAAAGTTCCCAAAGATGCCAGTCTAATCAACATATTGTTTAGAGACCCATACATAATGGGCTGGATTTGCAAACAGCATGAGAAAAAGATGCAGGAACTAAGGATTGAACCCTAGGGGCACAGGCTGGGGAAAAGTACAGGGGACTTTAAAGTAAGGAAAGGGCTCTTTTTCTTAAGGGGATGGGCAGTCATCACTGAGCTGTTGAAGTTTTAGACATAACATCTATGCTTTGCATCTACAAAAGATTTCACAACAAAAAATATTGCCATTCACTGCCAAACTAGAAAGCTGCCTGTGTGTAGAAGGTGGCCTCTCACATTAGTTAAAGGCAGTACTAAATATCTTCTTCATTTTTATTTTTGATTCTGAAAAAGATTCCTTACTACGGCATTTTATTCCTGCGGCCAGTGCCACAGTTTACAGGGCAATGCCCCTGGTGTAGCAAAAAGAAAAGATTTCAACAGGCAGAGGCCTCGGGAAGGAGCGCCTCCCCAACACTGCGGGAAGGACAGGCCCGGCCAAGAAGGGCTTCTCGCCTGAGCTGAGATCCTGTCCTGCCTGCGGAGCACGGTTCCCTCTGTGGCAGATTTTTGTAGTTACCCTCCTACATTTGAGGTGACTCACATCACAGTGACCCACAGCTTACTTTCCTGCTGCTCTTCCTGCTGTTGGTTTGTTGTTATTGTTTTTTTTGGAGGAGGGGGTGGTTTATTTTTGAGACAGGGTCTCCCTATGCAATGCAGGCTGACCTCGAACTTACTTTGTAGCCCAGGCTGGCCTGGAACACACGGCGATCCTCCTGCCTCAGCCTCCTGAGTGTTGGGATTACAGGCGTGCGCCTCCATGCCCGGCCCCTTCTGCTGTTTTGAAAACCCTCTGCTACCATGTCCACCATGACATCCACAAAAACCGCCCCAGGCAGAGCCAGGGGTCTCCTGCCAAAGCTCACCCCTTGGCGAGCCCATCATTTCACTGTGACTGTCCATTCTAATTTCCAGCATTCTTCTCGTTCCCACAGCCACCAGAGCAGCTCCCAGCATGTCCCCGCCACTGCGTCCACCACCTTGGTTTCCATATCCTGGTCCACCATAGCTTGCTCCCCACGATCTCCACGCTCACCTCCATAGCCACCCCTAAGGCCACCACCTCACCCCCAAACATCTCCACCAGGGTCAGAATTCCCCCCCACACCCGTCTCCTCCCTGCCCCACAGGGTGGTCAGATCCCAGCCGCCGCGCCCGAGACCTGGCTTCCGCAGCTCTTGTGCAGCAAGGGCTTGTCGCTGCACCTTGTGCCCAGTGACAGGGTGCCGCTTCTGACAGCACCAGCCCCCTGCTGTGCTCATCAAAATGAGCAACTGAGTTAAATCCCCAGCCCATTTGACACATATTTCAAAGCGGTGTCTCCAGTTATAGTCTCCTGTTTCTTCTTAAACACCATCAGCACACACCCTAGTCCTGTTGGACTGGTACCAAGCTTCCCCAAGTCCCTTCTAGAAAGAGCTCCCTTTGGTGCTACCATCAGCCTCATGTGGCCCGAACACATTGCCTCCTCAAGAGTAATATAGCCTGTCATCCCCGCACTCAGCAGGCTGAGGCAGGAAGATTGCCATGAGTTTGAGGCCAGTATGGACTACCTAACAAGACCCTATCTCAAAAAAAAGAAAAGATAAGTCACAAAACCAATGCTCCCGGAACAGTTTGGCTGGGGGTCTCTCACTACCACCACAATTTATGTGTCAAAATGAAAGGAAAAAACTGTATAAGGAAGAATTGTCCTTTCTGAAACTTTGTTCTCTTTGAAGCTGCCTAGCTCGGTAACTGCTTTCTTGACCCCTGTAACCATGAGAGCATAACAGAACACACAGGATGCCTGATTGTAATGATGGTCATACCCAGGCATGGTGGTGCATACCTGTAATCCCAGAACTCAGAAGGCTGAGACAGGAGGATTGTTGAGAGTTCGAGGACAGCCTGGGCTACAAAGTGAGTTCAAGGCCAGCCTGAACTGCATATGAGACCCTGTCTCCAAAAGACAAAAAAAAATTCTACAGCCATACCACCCTGAACATGCCCTATCTCGTCTGTAATAATAATCATCAATCTAGCCCTGTAACCAATGATCTCACCCTGCTAGCTCATCAGAAGAACTGCCAGGCTGCCCTGTCCTGCCTTTGTAACCTCTTCTTATGCCACGTATAACAATGCTGGCTCACAGGCACTTGCTGCCTGACTTTTGTTGGAAGTTATGGTAGCCAGCACCATGGGTGTAAAATCCTGACTTCCTGACTTCCTCCTCCTGACTTCCTCAGGTGTTCTTCTCCTGGAATCACCACAAAAACATTTCACCACAAAACATTCAAGGCCAGCCTGGGCTACCTGGTGAGTCCAAGTCATCCTGAACTACATAGTGAGACCCTGTCTCACAAAAACAAAACAAAAACCAGGCGTGGTGGCGCACGCCTGTAATCCCAGCACTCGGGAGGCTGAGGCAGGAGGATCATTGCAAGTTCGAGACCAGCCTGGGCTACAAAGTGAGCTCAAGGCCAGCCTGGACTACATAGGGAGACCCTGTTTCAAAAAGTCAAAACAAAACAAAACAAAAAAAAAACAACAAAAAAAAACTAAGTGGGGGCTATGACACCAGCAAGAACTGGTATCAACTGCAGCCTCCAAGTGGTCGCTGCAATGCACACTGACAACTTGGTGACTACGGATTAAGCTTCAACTCGGACTGTGAAGGTGAAGGACAACGTCAGGGCTCACTGTGCCGGGATAACTAGACACTGTCGTAAGTTAATAAAGATAAATGCTGTCTATTCTGTGCACTCCATCGTTCAAGTAGAAAAAACTGCTTTCATGCTCATGTAAGGAACTGTTTTCTAAAAAGCTATATTGAATCAATGAGTATCTTCTACTTGGTGGAATATCAGGCTCAGTAAATAGTTGTTGGATCAGAGCTGAGCTTGGTTGGGCACACCTGTAATCCCAGCACTCGGGAGGCTGAAGCAGGAGCATCACCATGAGGTTGGAAGCCAGCTGGACTACACAGTGAGACCCTGTCTCAAAAACCCAATTATTAGGTGAATGAAGGGACCATGCACACTTCATAAAATAAGAAATCTGAACTCCAAC